CATCATCATCATCATCATCATCATCATCATCATCATCATCATCATATCATCATCATCATCATCATCATCATCATCATCATCATCATCATCATCATCATCATCATCATCATCATCATCATCATCATCATCATCATCATCATCATCATCATCATCATCATCATCATCATCATCATCATCATCATCATCATCATCATCATCATCATCATCATCATCATCATCATCATCATCATCATCATCATCATCATCATCATCATCATCATCATCATCATCATCATCATCATCATCATCATCATCATCATCATCATCATCATCATCATCATCATCATCATCATCATCATCATCATCATCATCATCATCATCATCATCATCATCATCATCATCATCATCATCATCATCATCATCATCATCATCATCATCATCATCATCATCATCATCATCATCATCATCATCATCATCATCATCATCATCATCATCATCATCATCATCATCATCATCATCATCATCATCATCATCATCATCATCATCATCATCATCATCATCATCATCATCATCATCATCATCATCATCATCATCATCATCATCATCATCATCATCATCATCATCATCATCATCATCATCATCATCATCATCATCATCATCATCATCATCATCATCATCATCATCATCATCATCATCATCATCATCATCATCATCATCATCATCATCATCATCATCATCATCATCATCATCATCATCATCATCATCATCATCATCATCATCATCATCATCATCATCATCATCATCATCATCATCATCATCATCATCATCATCATCATCATCATCATCATCATCATCATCATCATCATCATCATCATCATCATCATCATCATCATCATCATCATCATCATCATCATCATCATCATCATCATCATCATCATCATCATCATCATCATCATCATCATCATCATCATCATCATCATCATCATCATCATCATCATCATCATCATCATCATCATCATCATCATCATCATCATCATCATCATCATCATCATCATCATCATCATCATCATCATCATCATCATCATCATCATCATCATCATCATCATCATCATCATCATCATCATCATCATCATCATCATCATCATCATCATCATCATCATCATCATCATCATCATCATCATCATCATCATCATCATCATCATCATCATCATCATCATCATCATCATCATCATCATCATCATCATCATCATCATCATCATCATCATCATCATCATCATCATCATCATCATCATCATCATCATCATCATCATCATCATCATCATCATCATCATCATCATCATCATCATCATCATCATCATCATCATCATCATCATCATCATCATCATCATCATCATCATCATCATCATCATCATCATCATCATCATCATCATCATCATCATCATCATCATCATCATCATCATCATCATCATCATCATCATCATCATCATCATCATCATCATCATCATCATCATCATCATCATCATCATCATCATCATCATCATCATCATCATCATCATCATCATCATCATCATCATCATCATCATCATCATCATCATCATCATCATCATCATCATCATCATCATCATCATCATCATCATCATCATCATCATCATCATCATCATCATCATCATCATCATCATCATCATCATCATCATCATCATCATCATCATCATCATCATCATCATCATCATCATCATCATCATCATCATCATCATCATCATCATCATCATCATCATCATCATCATCATCATCATCATCATCATCATCATCATCATCATCATCATCATCATCATCATCATCATCATCATCATCATCATCATCATCATCATCATCATCATCATCATCATCATCATCATCATCATCATCATCATCATCATCATCATCATCATCATCATCATCATCATCATCATCATCATCATCATCATCATCATCATCATCATCATCATCATCATCATCATCATCATCATCATCATCATCATCATCATCATCATCATCATCATCATCATCATCATCATCATCATCATCATCATCATCATCATCATCATCATCATCATCATCATCATCATCATCATCATCATCATCATCATCATCATCATCATCATCATCATCATCATCATCATCATCATCATCATCATCATCATCATCATCATCATCATCATCATCATCATCATCATCATCATCATCATCATCATCATCATCATCATCATCATCATCATCATCATCATCATCATCATCATCATCATCATCATCATCATCATCATCATCATCATCATCATCATCATCATCATCATCATCATCATCATCATCATCATCATCATCATCATCATCATCATCATCATCATCATCATCATCATCATCATCATCATCATCATCATCATCATCATCATCATCATCATCATCATCATCATCATCATCATCATCATCATCATCATCATCATCATCATCATCATCATCATCATCATCAAAACTGTTCTTCCACTCACTTGATTTCTAACGATCACATTAGATTTCACTTGCTAAGATGATATCTGTAATGTGATGTCGCGTCATGGTTGACTATGAACACCACTACAAAAGGACTACGTGCCAGTTAACCGATAAAATCCCATGTAAGCAAAATATCAGAAGGTAGGTGATGGCTGTTGTCGATATGTATTTGTTGGCGATTATACAAGCGAGCACAGTAAAACAATCACTGGTACAATTGGTTACAATAATGATTGTTTCCATTAAACCCTTTGTGTTCCCTTGATAAAAGTAGGTCACTACATATTCAACATTCCAAACTGTGATCGAATATTGAGATTATAGAGAGAAGATCTGTCGCTCAGAAGGTTGATGTTGTATCTTTTCAACTGACGTATTGATTAGTTGCTCTATAAACATGGTCTCTTCCATGTTCTATGTGCTGAGTGCGTGATTTCTCTATTGCAGTCCAGGCAATTCAACTCCACCAGTCATCTTTTATCATAATTCGTTGTTCATCTGTGTTGCTCAGTACAATCGATTTGTTATCACTGTAATAATTCACATTGCAACTCCAAACACTGACACTTCCATGCATTTTCCGGTCAAACCATTCCATCACTAAATATCTATAGATATACTTATAATATAACATCCTCAATCTAGTAATTTCGGAGTTAATTTGATAAATTCAAACCTGACATGGTCAGTAAAGAAACCGTGAATCAAAAGCACGATTTATATGGGGACATAATAGGAGCTAGACTACGTGTACTCAGCATAACTGAAGTTATCTGGACCAACCCTTGAAAACCGAACTAATATATCGAGAAGTGGTATATACAGCCTCCATGTTCACCGTGGTCTACAACTGAATCCGCAGACACTTCAAATTCATGTTATTAACTTATTATTCCAATTATTTTTGTGATTATCTCTTTCCTAATCCACATTGATTCTTTTCTTCGTAATTACCTTGACTATACTACTCCTTTTATTACATATTATGATCACACAACGTTGTTATTATTATCACCATTATTATTAGTAGTATTATTATATTGATAAAAAATGTGGAATCTCACTACAAGTCATTCCGATACTTATGAAGTGACCTTCCTAATCACACCATCTCCAAATATTTCCATGGTAACAGATGAGAATGTTCATCATTGTTTATATATGTAACTATGTTTTAAAAAACGTCTGATCTAAAAATATCATCTAAAGCAAATTAACTCAGCGCTACGAGTTATGCGAAAACTTAATTTAAAATAATTACGACTTCTTATGGTGAAAGTAGAAATTCTTTAGAAGTCACGAGATCTAAATGTGTCAGATGTTGCTCAAAATAAGAAGATAAATCATTTCAGAGTTCAAGGGAAAAATGAAAGTCATATATTGCATATTGTGCAAATAAAGTCTTACATTCAAGGAATATGTTGCTGGTCCTACGTCAATAGTAAACAATCTGTTCAGATTGATCATTACTGATACTTGTATATTTGCGTCAAAGCTACTACTATTACTACTACTACTACTACTACTACTACTACTACTACTACTACTACTACTACTACTACTACTACTACTACTACTACTACTACTACTACAACTAATACTACTACTACAACTCCTACTACCACCACTACGACAACAACTACTAATACTACTACTACTGCAACTACAAATAATACTAATACAACTACAAATAAGTCTACTATAACTGTTACAATTACCACTACTACTGCTACTACAATTACTACAACTACCACTATTAGTACTACTAAAACTACTACAACGACTACAACTACTACAAACACTACAATTCTACAACTACTTCTACTACTACAACTACTACAACTACTACAATACTACAACTAACTACTACAACTACTACAACTACTACAACTAACTACTACAACTACTACAACTAATACAACTACTACAACTAATACAACTACTACAACTACTACAACTACTACAACTAACTACTATAATTGGATATATTGATCACTAGAACTGATACAGGAAAACTGGAAACTCAAGTATATAGGAAACCAACCCATACAGATCAAATTCTCAACTACAACAGCAACAACCCAAGGGCTCACAAAATCAACTGCGTTCATACATTGTTCAAGAGGGCGAGGACACACTGCAGCACACTGGCAGCACGAAGAAATGAAGAGAAATACCTGAAGGACATATTTCAAAAGAACGGCTACCCAATCAACTTCATCAAAAAGCACCAACGGCACACAGCATCACAACCCAAGTCAAGCACAAAAATCAATAAAAGGATCACTCTACCGTACATACAAGGGATATCAGAAACTGCAACGAGACTGCTGAAAACCTTCGGGATAGGTGTGGCACACAAACCAACAAAATCACTACAATCAATCTTATGCAAACCAAAAGATGAAATAACAAAGGAGAACAAATCAAACATTATCTACAAAATAAATTGTACCAACTGCGACAAACACTACATCGGACAAAGCGGACGCCCCCTCCACCTACGCCTACATGAACATCAATTAGCAGTCAAACGCCATGATATCTCTTCACTTATTTCAATACACGTGGATAACTACGGACACTCATTCGATTGGGAAAATGTAGAAATCTTAGACAGAGGAAACTCCAAAAACACCAGAGAATTTCTAGAAGCCTGGCACTCAGGTCAATCAGCAATCAACAAACATATTGAAATCAATCCAATTTATCAACCAATCAGGAAAATCATGCATAAATATAGGAACAAAAATCAAACCAATGGGAGACACAACCAAAACAGAGAAGTGAACAATGATAAATTTAAGGTCAACAAGTACCAATCAACATCGAGGTGCACAGAACAAGCTGTGAAACACATATGGAGAAATTCGAACACTTCACTTCTATCTGAAGTTTGGGCTGATGATGTCGTTCAGAAGAACGATGAAAGCTCCACGACCAAACCATCCAGCTCAGAGAACAAAACTCCATCACAAACTACTACAAATACCACAAATAGTACTACTACTATTACTACAACTACTACAAATACTACAACTACTACAACTAACTACTACAACTACTACAACTAAATACTACAACTACTACAACTACTACAACTACTACAACTACTACAACTACTACAACTACTACAACTACTACTACTATTACGACCACTACTACTACTACTGCTACTACTAATATTACTGCTAATACCACTACTACAAATATTACTACTAATACTACTTCTACTACTTCTACAACTATTACAACTACTACAACTCCTACAACCACTACAACTACTGCAACTACTACAACCAACTACTACAACTACTACAACAACACTACTACAACTACTACAACTACTACAACTACTACAACAACCACTACTACTACTACTACTACTACAATTACTACAACTACTAAACTACTACGACTACGACTACTACTACTACTACTACTACTACAACTACTACAACTACTACAACTACTACAACTAACTACTACAACTACTACAACTAACTACTACAACTACTACAACTAACTACTACAACTACTACAACTACTACAACTAACTACTACAACTACTACAACTACTACAACTACTACTACTTGTACTACTTCTACTACTATTACGTTTACTCTATCATCATCTTTGTGAAATGCACAATTCGCTTTCATATTATCGAGAATTACTATTTTACAAATCTAATCAAAACATAAATTGTGTTGGCGTTTCACAATGAAATGATTATTGATTTACGAAAGTATGGACTGTTATTCATTCCATTGGTTGTAATCATAAATCAATTGAATTTAGACCACCATGGAAAACCCGGAAGCACTGGACGGTTGTTTCATCCTAGTCTGGACTCCTGAGCAGTGCACATCCAAAATGCCGCACCACGTGCTATTCGAACCCAGGACATATCGGTGTCTCGTGCACTAAACCTATCCTGATAATAATCATTTGCTCACTAGTGACTGACATCAAGAGACACTCATGGAGTTCTAGTGAGAAGCCGCTACCAGTGGAGTTCAACCATGTCTGTTGTCAGATATCAAATCACTGAAGACAATGGTGACGGTGGCGCAACTTCGTGGATTGGTTGAAGTTAGACATGAACACCGTCGTATGCTGGCCTGCTCAGTGGTCTAATGGTTAGGCGACCGCGCACGAGACTGATGGGTCCTGGGTACGGATCTCGCGGTGGGCGGGATCGTGGATGCGCACTGCTGAGGAACGGCCGTCAAGTGCCTCTAGATTTTACATGGTTATCTAGCTTCAATTGACTCATGATTTCAACCAGCGAAAGAATTCAATTTATTGGAATAAAATTTAAACATATAAATGTGAATTTAGGTCATTTAATGAAAACAGCGTGCTACTTTAATTTTAACCAATCAAATCAAAACTATGCATCGGTGACAACCAATTCATGGTTGATTAAAAGTAACACACAATGTTAGTTCATGAAAATATGAGCACTAATTACTTAGTTTAAATTATTGGTAATCCTGTTCAAAATAGTTTTCATCAATAACGGGGTGGGGTCAGGAATTTCAATAAACTATGGATCAATATCGGACTATATTACCTCAATACGTGTAAGACTATAACATAACCATGAGTTCATCTCCTATGACGATTGGTTAATAATTATGAAATGAATTTATGAAATGTGATCATCCTAATGGTCAATTGCAATCATCCAATCTGAAAGAAACTTACAAACACTTCCAAAAAATTTTATATAAAACTCAACACGTTCTACCAACGTCTAAAACAAGAAAATGATGTGAGTATTCGCTGTACACTCAAGTCAAATGATTGTATTATATCCATTTCAATTTGATCTAATGAGATAACATTGCTCTATACATTTGAACCATTTCAGATTTACATTTTCATTTGGTCAGTTGGTAACGATCTATTCAATCATTGTCCTCACATCGGAATCTTTCAACTGTCATGAATCTTGTGGAAAACCTGATTTACTTAGTAAAACAAAA